ATGCAGTTAGAGCTTCGCTTAACGTTTTCATATTTTGCTTGACAGTTAAGCAGATGCCCATTTAAAAAATGTCAATGGATTTAAAAAGAATATATATATAAAGAAGAACACAACCAACGCATTTGATGAAACAAGTTTTAATCTTATCAAGTCATCCTCTTCATTCCTCGCCTCATTCAGACGCTCTTGAGTTTAAGGACAACCTCAGTCTCCTTGGGGAGGAACTCCCTGCAAAAACACACAGAGGAAAAAAAAACAACAAACTCAATGATCAGGGTATGATACGGGCATTAGTGGAATAGGGTCTTCCTTGTTTATTCAATGCATTCCCATTCCCAAAACCCAGTACAAACTTCAGAAAGGGTGGATCCCAAAAGGGATGGTCTGGTCAGGTACCCCAACATGCAATAAAGACAAGGATGTGTGTGTGTGTGTGTGTGTGTGTGTGTGTCTCACCTGAATGGTATCTTTGCCTGTTTAAACATCCGTTTGGCGGCTTGTGTTTCCAGAGAAGTATTGTACTTATCACAAAGATAGACGACTTCCTTCATACCTGGATACAGAAATAACTTATTAATCTTTATAGCAGAATCATGGCAGTTAAAGTAAAAGAGAGAAAAGGAGAATAAGAAGTGGAGTAACTCAGAATAAATCTGTCATCAGTATTGATAGGGACAACATTTTTGACTGATGGGAGTGAAAGCAGCACTCAGTTTATTCAACTGTAAAAGTGCATCAAAATATTTGTTCACTCGAATCAATGAATCAAATGTTTGCCATAATGATAATGATCAGTCTACCAATAGTTACAACTGACTGAAGTGTGTGTGTGTGTGTGTGTGTGTGTGTGTGTGTGTGTGTGTGTGTGCGTGCGCGTGCGTGTGCGTGCGCGTGCGTGTGCGTGTGTGTGTGTGTGTGTGTGTGTGTGTGCGTGCGCGTGCGCGTGCGTGTGCGTGTGCGTGTGTGTGTGTGTGTGTGTGTGTGTGTGTGTGTGTGTGTGTGTGTGTGTGTGCGTGTGCGTGTGCGTGTGCGTGTGCGTGTGCGTGTGTGTGTGTGTGTGTGTGTGCGTGCTGCAGGGACTCACCAGCCTGGATGATCAGCTTGGCACACTCGTTGGAGGGGAACAGGGTCACATAGATGGAGCAGCCCTTCACATCAGCGCTGTTCTTGTCCATGATGGCGTTGAGCACTGCGTGGCACACTGCGGGACAGAGGGGGAGAGGGGGAGACGGCACCCATCAATAGAGGGCATGCAAGTGCCTTGTCTGAAATGTATTTAGGTTGGAGAACAAACAAGTTATAAACAATCAGACATGCATGATATACATGTGCTCCAATGATAGTGTGATTTATTTATCACCCAAGGAATAGACCTCTCCTAACACACCATCGACACCCCTGGTGACATCCATAATATTGTACATTTGGTAGGACATCTGCCCAATGAAACAATGAAAATAAAAGCTTAACGTCTCTATTGTGTCATTCTATCCATCGCTTCTATATTTGCAACAACAACAAAAGATGAATCCTTTGTATAAATCCAACTATAATATTATCATTCCTCACCACCATCACATATGTAAAAAAATATACATTTCTCGCAAACATTTTTATCATAAGGCATTTTAATGGTAAAACTATTCTACATTTTGGATTTTCCAACAAACTGTTTGATTTCAGAAAGAAATGAAATCTAAAAGTTAAGCAAAAAGGATGAAGTGTGTGTGCGTCCTCACCATAAATGTATTTGGTGTCCAGCTTAGTTTCAGCAGCAGCAGCAGCAACCTTGGCAGCAGTAGCAACGGTGAGGTCACCGCCAGCAGCATAAACAGCGGCAGCAGCATCTTCACCTTTAGAGCGGGACCACGGCATGTGATCTTCACAGCCGTTTGGCATCTTATTGTAACCAACGCCAACTACCTTTTTGTCCTGGTTCACAATACACGCCCCAACCTGCAAAGGGGGTGAGGTTCCAGAGTTTAGTCTAGCTGAACTTCTTTTAAATACCAAACATTACATTGCATCATGAAATAATCCAACATCAGATGCAACAACCTGCTGCCCTCAGGAGAAAGTCACACACTCTAAAGGCCCAGACATTTTAAGGATCACTTTAATTCTGAACATCCATTCCTTCAACCGTCATTATCTAATACACACCAGCACTCAGCTTGAATGAATTTGCGAAGATCTTTTTGAAAATGTTTCTCTGTGTTTGTTGAAGATTTAAGAGCCTGTTATTAGATTATTATTAGTACTGCAAAATGAATCTACTTAATGCAATAAAAACCTCCAAGAGTTCTGCCAAGATGGAAGAGGGAATATGTTTAGTTAATCCAGATTAGAGTACTACATCGGCGATAGGGCTTCACGTACTACATATATTTATTAATAATTGATCGAATATTTTACATTTTTACTTCCAGAATAATAAAACAATTGTTCCACAGAAATAAATATCAACAACTGCATCATTAATATTTTATTTGACAGGTCGATCACTTATTAGTGAAGATTTAAAAAGGTTCACTGTGAAAACACACCCACACACACACACACACACACACACACACACACACACACACACACACACACACACACACACAACACACACACACACACACACACACGCGCACACACACACACACACACACAACACACACACACACACACACACACACACACACACACACAAACCTGTGTGCTTGGGTCTCTGCTCTGCCTTGCGGACAGAACGGCTGCAGCCATGAAGTAATCTTCAGGTTCCATGAAATCTTTTCTAGCCCCGTTGCTACAGACAAACACACAACAAGACAGACATTATGTAAAGTTGATTTTTTTTTTCTCTTTAATCACAAGACGAACATGTTTTGGAGACTCTCCATGTGAAATCTGAATTCCTTTCTGATTTTGACATTCATCAAAATATAGTTAAACAGTACTCTCCTACACACACCAGTGGAACAGGCTGCAGTTGTTACTGATATCTCCCTTCTGTCCTTTGGGTTTGAGCAAAAGCTTTGCCTGGAAGTACGGTTTTGCTTAATTTCGGTCAAATCAGTTTTGGCAGCATGTCCAGCAGCTCTTTGACTTGTGACTTTACCTAAAAGTAAGTCATATAGATAAGCATCTGAACTTTATTTTAATAAAGTAATAAATATGTTCTTATGAAATGCAGGGAGCAGCAACTTCCTGGTTGTGAGTTTTACTTACTTGATAATAAAAACATGTTTCAGCATTAGTGCTGACAGTAGGCTTACTTATTTATCAAAAGTATACTGTAACAAATGAAGATGTAACATATAACTTATTACATCCACTCAAGTACTTTCAAGTTATTTTAGCTTAGCATTTCAGAGGGAAATATTTTACGCTTTAACACTTTATATTATTGCTTTCAACTAACCCAATTAGGTGAAATCTGAACATAATACATATAATTAAAGTCAAGGTTTCAGTTTCTTCAGTGCTTTCTCTCGGGGATGTTCGGGGCTCTCATATTGAAAGTTTACAAACAGTTTGAACTACTTACTCATTAGGTTGAGCTGGTTTTCCTGCCATAGTGTTCTGATGCTGGACCCCTCACAGTCTGTGCCTCTCTCTGGACTGTACGCTGCTGACAGTTAGTTGAACGTTAAGTTAGCGGTGGAAGAAAGCTCCACCTCAAATGACGTCAACACAGGATAGGTTCTTCCTGGTTGCCGCCCTTTAAATACATGTTTAGAGCCTCGCCTACGGGGCTTATTTTCTTGCACTTAAGCTTGCCAATAAAAAAAGTATCTATTAAACAAAGGTCCTTAATCCTCTGAGTTGACAGAATATATATAGTACTCTGGCCATTCCAGATAGTCTTCGCGCTACAGACAAACACGTAAAGAGACAAAATAATTAAATAAAGTTGAATTTTTTGGAGACTTTCCTCATTTCTGAGCAGTGACTCTTCATGTCCACACCTATCCAGGTTCCTGTTTGGTCATTTAAATTGATGGTTAGGTTTCATATCATGGTTGGCCTAATTGAATAAGCTGATGAATTCAATTTAGCTTATAAACTTGTCATAAAAAATACTTTCTAAAATAAAATAAAAGCTTTACTGCCAGGTAGATTGAGTGAAACGAAGAAAAACTACTTCACTGATCCTGCAAGAGAACCGGTGTTTCTCCTGGTTTGGTTTTTAGATATGAAACAACTAGGTGTGTCTTGTTCTTGTTCTATCAGATGTTTAATGATTCCACATGTTTTTACACATTCCTGTTTAGATTCGGCCTCATGTTTGTTCTCCTTATGAAACAACATTTTAAATTTCTTAAGCTAAATTGAATAACAACTGACAAGTGAAAAAATGCATGGATGTTGATGTGTGGTTCAGTTGCCTCTATATGCATTGAATAAAAACAATTGAGTTTGATATTAAATTCTCCTCTAATGGAAATGTGTCACCTGGGAGCACCTTGAATCTACTGTGATACAGAGCTGGAAGAAGTATTCAGATGTTTTACATAAGTTAAAGTAACTAAACTGCAAAGTGAAGGCACTCATTTAGTATTCACAATATGAACTCTAAGTACCAAACTATTATTTACACATATTTGTAGATTATTGGCCAAAGAATTGTATATTATTAATTATAACATTTTGGATGATTTGACAAGTAGTCAAATTTGTCTAAAAAGTATTTGGAAATGTTGCTTGATTTGAATGGAACATTTGCTAGGCGAAAATCTACCTCAGTCGTTGTTCATCAACACAGAACAATTTTCTTTTGGCATCAACAGCACGAAAACAAAATGTGTAACAGCTATGTTGTCAAAGTAGCAGCAAAAAGAGCCAATCTAATATACTGCTCACTTGCGACACCTTTGGACAACTTGTTTTGGTTTGTTGTTATTATTAGACTGTCCGAATAGTTTCCCTTTATGGGCAGTGACCAATCGGATGGGTGTGGTAGAGACATTAAAACCAGGTACTTCTCAAAGCCTGAGCATATTTGTGCAGACGTTTCATGATCAGCTGTATTAGGGAGCGACATTATTTGTGTTTTCTATCGTTAGTTAGACACAGAAAACATTGTCAATGGCGTCAGAAAACTATGGGGAAATGAGCGGGGAGGATATGTGTGAGTACCTGAGAGAAAAAGGACTTGGAAGGTGGGCAGATGCATTTAAAGGTACGTTTCTGGTTTGGTCATTTAAATTGATGGTTAGGTTTTATATCATCGTTGGCCTAATTGAGTAAGCTGTTGCAGAAAAATGCTTTAGTTTTTCTTTTAGTCATAAAAAATGCAATGTGATACAGGACTGTAATTCACTGCATCTTCTTTTACCCAGAAAAGTCTGTTATCAAGCTGCGGGAGCTCAATGATGGTGTTCTGGTTGGGAAGGGCATATAGTGAGTATCATCCCTTGTCAAACCAGGTTGCAATTTAAAAAAAGATATAACATCCTGAAAAGAAGGAAATGTGTTGCACATTTTTCTGAAGCATTGGCACTAATTTGGTGCAACAACTTCCCCCTGGCTTGACTTTTATCTTATAACCTACTATGCTTTTTTTTCACGATTTCTTTAGTCAACCTGAGGATCGTCAGAAAATCTTGGATAGTATCTTGAAGATCTGGCCAGCAGCTCCCAAGGTGATATACTATTTAGTTTTATGTATCGCTTCACACTACATGTTCAGGGCCTTCAGAAGAAATGGAGCTTGTTTTAGTTGTACTCTTTAGGGTCATCATTTGACAGGTTTTTTGTTGTATGTATTCTGTTAGGTGTTTAATGATCCAATCCACGGACATATGGAGTTGCACCCTCTTCTTGTCAAGGACACTCAAGTGGTAATTGGGTGATGACTTTTTATTGGTGTTTGCTGTATGCTTTGGTGAAGGGTGGGGTACTTAGCAGGAGAGCTTGTCAAAGCTCTGAAGGAAAAGCAGGATCTCAACATCACTGACAGAGACATCCTTTGTGTTAAGATTGCTGGGCTATGCCATGACCTGGGTGAGTGATACACACCTTTCACTTTAATATGTGATAGTTTATAAAAGAATAATTCATCAACAAAATGACCATTTGTATACAACAATTTCTTACCCTGTATTACCTGTTTAGTTATTTAAGTTTTTCTCACATACACTGTGAACAGAGAATAATCAAAAATCAAAAATGCAATATATATATATATTTATAGAATGTTAAAATGTCTCACTTCAGTTTGTTTTATAGCCAGCACCATCTGCTTAAAATATTTATATTTCTCCGTATATAGGACATGGACCCTTTTCCCATCTGTTTGATGCAATGTTCATCCCCAAAGTAACACCCCCATCTGGTCCACTAGGTTAAAAAATGAAAACCTGGAAGGTGAGAAGTTATTATTCCTATTGTCTGTAATGTGTGACATTATACCCAACAACAGAAATAAAACACATTTATAAAACCCAGCCAGCAGCTGCATGTCATGATCTGATCATGTTTTTTCAATCTGTGATTTTGACTGTTCTACCGTATTGCAATACTACATGGTACAAGTGTATGTCTTCCGCCTTAAAGTCAAAACTGCTCCACCAGTTGAAAATCTTCTCAAAGATTGTAGGTCACCCCTGTGAGGAATTCTATGAATCAACCTACCATAATACCGTAGTGAGGCTAGCCATCAACATCTCTGATCCCCAACATGTTTTCAAACATTTCCTAAATTGGGATCAATAAAGTACTATCTTATCTTATCTTATCTTATGTTCTGAACAGTGAATAGGTCTGAGGTACAAGGTCCCACGATGTAATAAAGCTAGACTGAAGCACTCCTTTGTGCACCAGTCCATCCTCAAATTAAATACAGAGCTCAATCCCAGGTCAAATGTGCGCTTGAGAGTCTTAAGCATGTTTTCTCTTCAGTGATTGTTATTGTGAGACTGACCATTGAGCGGCCTGACCAAGCAAGGAGGCAGAGGCAGAACGTCCAAATACAACCCGGTGTGGGCATTTATTCATCATTGACACATGATTCACAGCCTCAATTGCTGTCCACCTGAACACAGTCAGCAGCCACAAGGATCTCACACCAAAATCACAGAACTCACAGAGCCTAAATACCCACAGACTAATCAATCAACAAGACACAGGTGAGGGGGGAGGAGACAACACAGGGCACCAGGTGAACACAATCAGGAGCAACAGACAAAACGGGAGGGGGAACACTTTCAAACTAAACCACATGTGCAATATTACAAGGCCCGAAGCCGTCAGTCCACAGTGACGAAGTTACCTTCGTCACAGTTATGTTAAATGTTTGTTTCCTTGTATCGTGTTTTAATATTTGTTCCTGTTTGATGTTGCAAATGGAGCTGCTATGATGCAAGAAACATGTCAGATTTGATCTGACAATAAAGAATTATCGTATCTTATTACACATGCAATATTTTACATTCAATGCGGCATTGCCTTTAATTAATTAGTTGTATTTTGTTGCTTTTTTCAGTCAAAAGCAATAAAGCATAATCCTTTCCAAAATGATGCACTATTCCTTTAAGCACAATTAGTTGTGGCATTCATGGTATTATGAGACACATGCAGGGTACTCTCTCAAAGGATATTATAACTACCATTGTCTGCTTTTTTCCAGGAACTTCTTGAAAGGTTTTCCTATATATATATATATATAAAAAAAACTGGGCAAGCTTACATATATATATATATATATCTTTATATTCTACTCTTAATTCAGGCGTTTCAGTTTAATTAAAGGGTAAATGGAAAGGGTAAATGGAAACAATATCACTTTAACTTATCAATATGAAATGTAATGATTACACAATGTATTGGCATACAGAATAATGACACGCCTCACATTTATTGTTTTATGGATGCTTTTCATTCTTATCTTTCCCATTTTCCCTTACACAATAGAATGGATGTTATTCTGACTTATCATGTTTAAATAACCATTACATTTGTGTTAAATATCAGCAATAACTTAAACATGTATGAGAAGAGTGGGAGTGGTGAAACATCTGGTATAGGGGGAGCGGTGCAAACCAGGCTGTTGCTTTACAGAGCTCCCTGTCGTTATGCAAGTTTTGGCAACAGACCTGTCATTTGGTAAACATATACTGTCATGTTTTCAGCAAAGCCAGGCCCTTTCTATTCAAACAGTGAGTCATTGTTCATTTTTATCACTTTGAATTATCATACTAATATATTAATGAATTTGTGTACCTTGCAGCATGAGGACGCCTCTGTAGAAATGTTCGACCACCTGATGAAATCCAATGAGGATCTGCAGTGGATGATGAGGGCATGTGGCCTGAAGCTGCCCAAAGACTTGGTCTTCATCAAAGAGATGATTCAACCCCCGGCAGCTCAAGAGGAAGTGAGTCATGCAATTTGAATGTAATGATATCAGTTTTATCATCGTAATTGCTACAATAGCCAATGCCTAATGCCAGCCACTCTGTGCAGTCATCTCCACAGTGGCCATATAAAGGCCGTCCAGAGGAGAAGTCCTTCCTCTATGAGATTGTGGCCAACAAAAGAAGCGGCATTGTTTGGCTACTTTGCCAGGGGCTTGGTTCAACAGCTCGGTTCACTTTTTAATGCAATAAAACAAATGTGTATTAAACCAATTAATACACATTTAAAACATAGTCCTGGTTATTTAAAGAACATGTAGCATTCTCCTGGTGTCTTGGATTAGTTTTTGTAATAAGCACATTTTTTTACTTGTCTTGCCTTTGTCTCCTATCAGGGACAGCTACCACCTGGGCATCAAGAACAGCTTTGACCATGGCCGCTTCATAAAGTTTGCCAGGGTGTGTGAGGTGGACGGGCAGAAGCACATCTGCACTAGAGACTAGGTGCTGACTTTGTTACATCTGCTTTTTGATCAGCTTTTATAACAGCAATCAATGTAAATGATTAGTGGTAACCAGTGGCGTTTTTATATGTACAAAAGTGGTGGGGCACAAAAAACTTAGATGTCTATATATAAGCTTCTGCTGTGACGTGCAGTGAGGTTCATGGCTGGTGAGGCACTGGCACTGACTCTTCAGGTTTACAAATATTATATTTTGACCTAAACCAAAATATTATATTATTTTCAAAAGCTTTTTTTGTCTGATGCTTCGATTAATTTTAAACAGACAGTTCGACAAAAGGATACCCAAAAAATGTAATTTTATCATTTAAATATTGAATTGTTCTCTCTTAGTAAGATCCCATTTTCAATCAAATTGCGGTCTTACCTTGACTTGAAGATGAAGTCCATTTGCCTATCCTTCTGGACAAAAATCTCCATTACTTTTTTGTAAAAGTCCTCCTTATCTTCTCGTAGTTTCAAAAGTCTATCATAAATCTAATCGATAGATTTATAATTCAAAAATTATAAAAGTAGGGTAGACATGTGGATATTATCCGGCTGAACAAAACGTGCATTTATCTAACAGGTACGTTTCCCACAGAACTTATTTCGAGCTATTTTCTAAAATCCTATGTAGAAACCTCATTGCTTTTTTGTCGAGGGAAGCCAAGCGCAGCTTACTTCCTGGTTTTAGGACGCGTCACTGCACCTCTCTGATCTCCTCTTCACACACCACACTTTTCGCGGCACACGTACTTACAGCCAATCAGCTCTGAATTATGTGAGATGACGTATGGTGGGGATGGCAGCACAGTGCCCCTATGGTCATCATTTTTTTGCCACACACATTAAATAGGAAAATACTCTGAGCATGCGCAGTGTAGTTTTTACAGTCACCATTCACTTAGACAGTGAGAGGGAGGGGCATGATCAGGTTTTGTCCCACATGGCTCTAAATAGCTCAATAGGCACACACTGTAGACACTAATTAGAAGAACACAGACTAAAACAGCAATGTACTGTACAGACGAATCAGATGATTAAACATGATCTTAAAATATATTTTATATTTTTTTTAATTTTTTTTTTGCATCTTTTGTAATCATTATTTGTAATACTTTCTGCTGACACTAGGTGGGGCTGTGCCCCTAATGACCAGTCGCCACTGGTGATTTGTAAAATATCCATAAAGAAAAAGAAAATCTGCTTACAGTTCTGTTTCATATGGATGTTGAGAGATGTATCCATACTGTAGATCTCTTAATGTTGCTCTCAAAGTGCACCAGATTGATGCTTTTAACTTCAACATTTAAAAAAAAATCTTCCCGGGGGAGCATGTCCCCCGGACCCCCCTAGAGGAGGTTAGGTCCCCCCCCCCACTTAAATCATGTTCACATGGATAGGAAACTAAATTGCACACATCTTGTGTCCATATATTTCTGTTTTGGTGGTCATGCCACAACCGTGCACTGCATGCATACGTGAGTCATGGTAAGATATCTGGATTAAGAGGTTTCTTTTTCTTTGCACATCATGAAAGAAATGAATGGGCTGTGATTTTAGTTTTTTTAAGCAGAGGTCAATAATTTGAGAGGAAAAAGGTTCCCCACCCCTGTTCTACATAGATCATAGTGGGGATTTAGGCTTTTTAGAGGAGTGTTTGTGAGAGCCTGTATCTCTAATGGATCAAAAATACATAGAAGGTTTATGAATAATGCTTTGCTTTATTGTTAAAACACAAGCTCACAGCACACAGTGGTTTCTGCTGATCCTGGATGAAAGAAATATATTATCACTTTTATGCTAACCATACAAAAGATTTGATTATGAAGCAAATTCAATTATTAAAATCAGAGTGAGAAGGGAAGATACTAGAGATGGCAAATCTGGATCCTTTTACGGACTCAGGGTCTTCTGAGTCAGTCATTGAAGAGATCCGGATCATACGAGTCATTTGAGTCATATGAGTCAGCATCACCAAGACCGTAGAAATCCTATCGGTGAAACCGAAAAGTTGTTGCATTTCACGAGCATATTAAACTGACGTTATATTAACCTCCGCTACACAGTGTATTTTGCTTTAATAAAAAATGTTGATCACAAAAAAAAGGGTTATTTTGCGATTTGGCAAATCTGAGTCTGCTGTTGACTCGTGCATGAGGACGAGTCTGCTGGATCTCTGGATCTGCTGCTATATGGCTACGGCTCTGAGTCCGCACGAGTCTGCTCTGCTGTGTTTTGCACAGTGAGTCAGGATTTGCGAATCTGAGTCTGTGAAGTGCCGCTGACTAACTCGTAGGCTACTGGTCTCTCTCGATCATTGACCTGGATTCACGGATCCCGCGATTTTGATTAAAGCATTTGCACGCATTTTCAGCAGGAAATGCATTTTCTAGTTTTCTAGTGAGTTGGTGATTTTATAACATAGCAAAAAGGCATATCTTGCCTCAAAACGATGCAGAGAAACTAGTCCATGCATTTGTTACTTCAAGGCTGGATTATTGTATCTCTTTATTATCAGGGTGTACCAAAAAGTCAGTTAAGTCGCTTCAGCTGATTCAAAATGCTGCAGCTCGTGTACTAACCAGAGTTCGGAAAAGAGACCACATTACTCCTGTTCTGGCTGCCTTACACTGGCTCCCTATAGAACACAGGATAGAATTTTAAATGATTCTTCTCGCCTACAAAGCCCTTAATGGGCAGGCGCCATCTTACCTTAAATAACTCATTATACCCTACTGTCCTACTAGGGCATTGCGTTCCAAGAATGCAGGGTTGCCTCCCACAGGATTGTTGACATCCTCCTGGATTCATGTTCTTATTATACACATGCATTTCCAAACATTTGGACTACCTATGTTGTAAATGTATTATCTTTTCAATTTACACAGGGCATCTATTGCACGTCTGTCCGTCCTGGGAGAGGGATCCCTCCTCTGTTGCTCTCCCTGAGGTTTCTCCCATTTTTCCCCATTAAACTGTGGGGTTTCTTTGGAGGTTTTTCAGTTTATTAAAAGTTTATGTTGCTCCTAAAGTTATCTCTCATTTAAAGGGGACCTATCATGCAAAATGTACTTTTGTACATCTTTTATACATGAATATGTGTCCCCGGTGTTCCAGGGAACTCACCAAGTGTCAGAAAACACAACCCTCTCTATTTTCCTCCATACCCAAATCTATAAAAAAGGGGCTGCAACGGATCTGATAAAAACTGATCCAGATTTGAACACTGTCCTGACGTCAGGACAGTGGCGCTACGGCTATTGGGCCAACTCCACCAATCAGGAGGAGACAGCCACGGCCATTGCCATTCGAAAGCGCTGGAGACGCTGTAGTACATATGCCAGGGCAGTAGATGGTGCTGTTCTCACTGAATCTGCCCTTGCAAATCCAGAGCTAAAAAATGTCAAATTGAGCAAAATGAGGCATGGCTAAAATGCATGATCTGTTTGCTATTTTGAAAAAAAAAAAGTATAAATATGCCTTATAGAGGTATGGTCCTACACTATATTATTCAAATATAGCATGATAGGTCCACTTTAAATGTCAGTTTAGCAGGTCATATCAAACAGAGATTGTTTTCATCAGATATCAGTATTAAAAATTGTTTTGTTTCACCCAACACAATAATAAGTTCATTTTATCATTGATTATGTCATACTGTTGACATCACTATTATTCAGGTACCTGACTCACACCTCACCAGATTTTGGCTTTGAGGCGCAGATTTGCTAATTTCAAAATAAAATGATGCCATCTCTTTTATTGTTCACTGCTGGCGTAGGTCTCTATAAAAACACCCAGAATAGCTACTGTGAACGCAATACTTTTTTACGCAGTGGTTTACTGTGGATGTAGTCATAAGTCACATAAGGCAATGTAAAGCGATATAGACAACAGAAACAAGCATGTGCTTCAACCACAATAGTAGCATTCACCTCTGTTTTAACAAACTTTACTTTTGGAATAATCAGGGATAAATTCAAAGGGGAGTGCACCGCTTTTGCTAATGCTAAACCTTTGCAATTAAGGCAAAAATATATAGTGTAATTCTCAATCACCAGCAAAGGTTGCCAAGCAAAAAGCGTTACTGGACTTCTGATAATTGTATGTAATTAAATAAGTTAATATGCATACATTTGAAGCAAAATAATTGATAGTAACCGAAACCGTGTCTGCTCAAACTGAGATAGGATGTAATGAGAGTTGTGTCATGAAACATAAATGAATCAAGCTTTCCTGAGTTTAATGTTTAAAATACATTAAGAAAATAACTGTTATTTAAAACAAATGAAGGTTACGCTTTTGCCCCCTCCTGCATTAATCTCTTTTGATGAAGAGATGACTCATCTTTTTTCCTGCTGTGCGATCCCTGGAGATAAATGATTACAAATATGTGATGTAATACAGGAACAAAGACATTACTGCACACCTTGGTTTGGATTCTAGGCTTGATTTCACCCAGAAACCTGTAGTGTTTACGATCGACGATGTTTTTTAGAATCTCCCTTGCCTCTCTGAGATTATCCTCT